TGGAAAGCAACTGGAGAGCTACCCCAGCCCAGAACAATTCCTACAACAATTGCAGGAGAGCTGGGTGCCAACAAATTGCAAATGTGATTGGGTTACTGGAAAAAGCAGGAAGTTCCAGTGCTGGAACTGAAATTGTTGATGCCCCATCGCTGCAAGTGTTCAAGTCCAGGCTGGATGGATCTTGGAGTGACCTGGTCCCTGCCCAGGCAGGAGTGGGGAACGAGATGGTTTATAAAGTATTTTCCGACCCAAACCATTCTGGGATTACTATGATCGTTTCATTCGTTTTGTGGTAATACGATTTATAAGAATATAAATTTATTTTAAAGCAAATACAGCACAGGTGTGAGGGCCTTGCCTGAGCTTTGCTTCTTAGGAAGGTGAGACCAGAAAAGTTGCTTATTCTTCATTGTCCAGACTTTTGACACAGAGCAACCTGCCCCATATTAACTTTTGCATTTCTCATCAAGATGCAACAGACTTTAAATAGCATGTTCATGACTGACTCTTTTTTTTTTTTTTTTACTCCTATGGAGGCTGATATACAAAGTACCTCAAGTGGCAGCTGTCACTGGTGAGGTGGCATTTTTCTTCACTGAGGCTGACAGCAGCTGTCCAGGAGAAGTATGAATGGAATGAGAATGACATCATGTTTATTCAGGAATGACATTCCCAGCCATGGATCAGTGTCAGCAATATTTTGATAAGTTTTAGAATGAGAAAACATTTCTTGAAATGTTCCCTGATTTATCCTTTGTAAAATACACAACACAAAAAATAATTGAAGAGATTGCATCAGGACAAAGCAGGGCTTGCCTATCCTATGTTTCCACAAAGTGTTTTATCTGTGCTGCAGACAGTCCATAGGCACACAGCAGCTTTAACTCTTGCCAGCCCAGCTGGTTTTCTCCACAGGCTTTTCCCTCTGCTGCTCCTTGCCCTGGCCCAGTTTGGAACTGGGCCTAGTGGATTTCATTTCTGTCTAAGACAACGAGTGGCTGTAAGGGAAGTCAGTCAGCCAGAGCAAAGGAGGGCTGGACTAGCTTTTAGGGTTAGCTTTTAGGATACAGGGACAGAAATAGGAACAACTTGCCTTGGTTCCTTACAGTGCAACTAATGGGACTGGTATCTTAAATATATATAGATGGTTTAGTCGGGGTTATCATATGACAATTGATGGGTCTTTTTGTGGCTGACTGACCTGGATGAAATCTCTGCTGCTGCTAGAAACTGTTCATCCTGAAGCCTAATGAAAAGTTTTAGGCATTAAGGACACAACCCAGTGGATTTGAGTCCTGCAGGCCTGGAAATATGTTTTTTATCTTTATTGTATTACTTCTTGTGAACTCTCTCTCTTAGCACAATGGTACAAGTTGCCTCCTTTACTGCAATGGTCACATTTTCTGGTAATTTTTTTTATGCCTGAGCTCCTTAATTACAGTTTTGCTAATATGCACATACCGAGTTCTGATCCTTTCTCAGGTCCAGCCACCAAGGCCACTCTCCCCAACCACATTTTAAGCATTGTTTGAAAACTGGCTGGCAGGGCCACCCACATCAGGAGAGAGCCCAGAATGAGCCCTTGGCTGGAATTGCAGCACAGGCTGCCGCAGGCTTTGTTGTTGCTCTCTGACATTAACTAAGAGCTGATTGTTATTGTTGTCAGTAGGCTCCAAAATTAGTCCTGAGACACCTGCCTTTTCAGAGGTTCTGACTTGCCCTCTCGTACCTCTGTCAGTCAGACACTGCTGTAAGTGCTGACAGGTCAGGGAGACAAATGTTGGTCTGAATTTTCATTCTGTCTGTAAAATTTGAAGATTTGTGTGTGTCTGCCTAGTAAGAGACATAAAGCAGAAGGACATGTGAGGGTGACCTCACTGCAACTAATACGATAGCTGAACTGAAAAGAAGCAGCCCCGGTGTGCGTTGGAGTCAGATGTGCAGCCAGTGTTAACTTCACAGCTTTACATGTATTTGTTCAGTTGTGATCTCCTCCTCATTCTCTCTCTCGCCTCCAACCTTGGTTCTCTCATGGTATCAGATTCAACAGGGCTATATTTAATTCGAGTTCAACAGAAGGGCTTATTTAAATATAAATTTTGGGAGTGACAGTGCACTGGCTCAATATGCAAGAAGATGGATGTATGGAAGTGGCTGGTGTCTGGAGAAGGGTGTGAGGAGGTCACAGCGTGCCCTGGGAGCAGCCAGTGCAAACAGCAGGTGAGCACCTTACACTCACACAGCCTGCTCTCTGAGCCACTGGGTACCTGCAAACACCCACTGGAGGTGATGTGACAGTCCAGCACAGGTCTCAGACCTGAGCAGGTGTCCAGAGCCACCTGGTGCAGGTGCTGAGCTGAACGAGGCCCCCCCGTGAGCTGCTCCCCTCTCCTCAGGCCCTGGGTCCGCTGTGAGCTGGAGCTCGTCAGGAGCACCACAGCGGGCTGGGGCTCCTGTAGTGCCTGGTAGCGATGGGTGGGGAAGGGATGCCTGAAGGCGGGGCTGTCTCTGGGGGAGCTGCTTTCCTGCTGATGCTGGTTCTGGGCAGGGTGTCAGTTGCTGCAGTTAGGCTGGAAAGCAAACCATAAATAACCAAGTGCAGCAGGAGACATTTCAGGGAAGTGTTCCACTGCAGCCTGAAGAGGATTACCATTACCAACTGAATGGATTTTGTCTTCTGTTTTGTAGGTTGCTTCACACCATTGTTTTAAATCTCAGATTTGTTTCTAAAAAGAGAAATATTTTCATGCATCATCATTTGCATTAACATCTGAAATGCCTTTTCTACCCAAAACTACACCGTTACCATGAACTTGCTTGTAGTTTTGACTTAAGGAGGAGCTGGAATGTAGAGTACTTTTGTATCCATGAACTGATGCACAGTATGACAGAAATTCCTGTGTTACACATACACATGGTCTTTTTCTCATAGCAGAAAAAAGAACTATAAAGAAATACACGATTTACATTTCTATATACGCAGCTTGGGGAGGTGTTGGGAAAGAGCAAAAGCGTGGCTAAAAACTCAGGCTTTATGATCACCAAGTTTGCAGAGTGAGAAGCTGTTCCTCTGAGTGTTGAACGAGTCTTACATTAAATACTGAGGAAGTGGCTGTTTCATCTGTGCAAGCTGTCCTACCCTGGGAAACACATCACTTGGTTGGTCGCTTTACAACCACATGCTAAACATTCTAAACAATTTATGCATTTAAACTTGTATGTTTTTCTCTCTCAAAACTTGCTACTCTGCAATGTTCCACAGATCTTGTTTATAACACATTCATCTAAAATTATCTCAGTGCACACAGCACCCTCCTATAGAACAGATGCTATGTAACCTGAAGTTCTGTTTTGATCTCAAATCGACGTGTTTAAGCTACTTGTGTGAATTATAAATTGAAACTAAACTAAGAAAATGAAATTGTGTTTTTTGCCATGATGCTTCCACAGTTCAATAGTTCTATTCATTTTAGAGTGCCTTTCTGGTGTGATACTTACACTTGCTATTTAAGGTTTAACTATTTTTGTATTTAAGGATCTTCTGGGTTATCTTAAAAAAAATATCTAAAAATTAACCTTTCCTAGCAACATTATTGAACTTTTTCTGGGTATCTTCTCAGTTTGTTTTTTGCATCACATCTGAATTTAGATGAGATTTATATACAAGAGACATTTTCCTTTGTAATTAGCCTACTTATATGTCTTCATGCATCTTGAATGGATGGTTAAGTATCTCAGGAGATTAGCACTTGCATCCTGGGGCCTTTTCATAGCTAAATCACTGGTTATGATCCTCACATAATTATTCATACTTATTTACTATTTATATTACAGTAATTCCTAAAGGAATCTCCCAGGTTGGGCCCTGTGTGCCAGGTGCTGTAGGTGCCTGAATGAGGTACGTGGGCAGCAGAGACCTCCATACAGCTCTGTGAACCTCTATTTTGTAGTGAGATCACATTTTGCAGACCCACTAAGCAGAGGGGATGGAGGATGACTACCCCTTTGCTCCTGTCCAAATTCCTGGCTTCACAGGTCTCAGGTTTTCTTAAGATGGAAGGAAACTGATTTCCCCTCCCAGAACCTTCTGGCTTATGATAGAGCAGTATCTTTCCACTACCTGTCTTAAAAATGTCTTTTGGACACTAATGTTCCTCTGTAAGAAGACATCATGTTTTTATGTAAGAATGGAGAGCTGAAACCAAGATTGCTTCAAAGCAGAAGCAGAAGCTTCCCTTTGGCTTCAGTATTTCACTATGGGAAACAAACGCACAACGAAAGCAGGGGCAGTAACAAACCTTGTGCTGGGCTTCCCCCAAAGCTGAGGCACTGCAAACTCTTTGCCTCTTCAGACCCCTGCAGGGTCCCACAAGAACTGGTTCTTTTCCAGCCTTCCGTGGGTTTATGGGAATTGTGTTTCCTGTTTCCTCATCCCTCCTGCAGTGAGTAGATGTGGCAGCTCCTAGCTGTGATCCTGACATTGCTGGGGGCTTGTGCCTGCAGGTCTGTGGGCACCAGGGGGATGAAGGTGAGTGAGAAGGAGAGGGAACACCTGCTAACAGTGGGAAAACTACAAAAGCAAATAACGATGCTGTGGCCAGAGCTGCCAGCCAGGTGCACGGAAACCCAGGAACAAGGAGGCACCTAGCAAGAGCCTGCTGCTGGCACACAGCAAACAGATGGTGCAGACAACCTGACCAGCCATGGTGTCAGCTTCCCCAGGGCTCCCTGCATCAGCCACCGTGTGCTGCAAGGCCACGGGGCTTAGTGAGGTCATTTGTCACTTCCAGAGGTGAGCAGTTCTGCCTCCCCTGCGCGCCAGGGAGACCAGCCCGGGCTCGACCCCGTGGTAGGGAGGGAGGCAAAGCGTTGGAGAGAAGTGATAGCTGCAGGCCTGGCTCTGCTACTGAGAGCTCATTCACAGCTCTGTTCCGGGGAGGCTGAGGGACTGCATGAATGGAGAGGGCTGGTGCAGCCATGCTGAAAGGAATATAAGGAAACTGCTTTTGCGTCCAGCACAACTCCAGAAGGACCATGGCTGGGTGAGCAGAATAAGCATTTTCCTGTTGGCTATTGTTTAATTAGGCTGTTGCTGATGCTGACACTGTGTATTTTCTTTGCTCTATCTCCATTCCTTCTTTATTATTTCCTACTTTGGTTTGATGTTGTTGGTATATAAAATTTAAAGAGCTCTAAATTTTTTTAAAGGCCCCTAAAGGGAGCGGTGCTTTTTTTGTGTTAAAGTCATTACATGAACACCTGTGAACTGTTGAGTTTAATTGGGCTACAGCTGTTGGGGAGCGAGGGGGGATTTATTGGTTTGATTGGCTGTCTTCAGATTGCGGTGTGTTGTCATGGGCTGCCCTTCCAACATGTCTCTTTAAACAGAAGCACATGTGCATCTCAGGTACTTGGAGCGATGGCTCTGTCAGAGCAGAGCAGAGCAGAGTGGCTGGTGTGGCCGTGTGAGGACGCAGAGGCAGGCAGCAGAGAGCATGGCAAAGCTGTGTCAGCCGGGGAGCAGCAGATGGCCGGCTGGCCAGCCCGCTCCGCCGCGCTGGAGGGGCTGCCAAGCTCCCAGAGACACTTCTGAGCACTGACTGATCGTGCCGCGGGGTTCCTGGGCACTGCTGGGGAGGACACGATGCTTCCTAGTGGGAAAGTGAGGTCCTGTCTGAAATGTCACATGTCTGCATGGACAGCAGCAGAAGTCACATAAGAACTGTCTCTATTAAGGAGGCAGGCAGTGGGAAAGCCATAAACCAGGGCACCTCTGGGCAAAGAAATGCTCCTGCTAAGAAGAGGGATCTCATGCACAGCTAGGGCAGTCACCTGAGCTCCACAGGGAATACAGCCTCCATGCGTGCACAGAGATAGAGAGGAGCCATGGGGAGACTGCCAGGGTACCACACATCCAGACTGTTCGGTTCACTCTTCCCTGCAGGGTTTGGCTAGCAAAGAGCAGCCCTGCCCTCTCCCTGAGGGTGCATGGCATGGGCTGAGGAGGGGGATCCAGGGCAGCCTGAGCTCAGCTGGGCTCTGCCCCTGCACAGAAGTGCAGTGCTCACCCAGCTGGGTGGCACCTCTGGACCCTCTGGCAGAGCCCTCCAGGCACTCTGTGCCCATTCCCTGCCTGTGGGAGCACATCTCGAGCAGTCTGTTCTCAGCTGAAAGGTCCAATGAGCTGGGAGGATGGTCCTGCTCTCTGTACAAGTGTCCTGTCGTCTGCACCTTGGTGCCAGTGTCCAGAGCCTCGGGGGGCTCAGTGGCACCCTGCTTACCAACACATCCTCTGCTCTATTGTTCTGAGCCAGTTCACTGTGTGTTTGTGAAGGATATGGACAGAGATACCTCTCTATCATGCCTCGGGGTAGGGGGAAGGGTAAAAAAATTCCTTTTGATTCCTTTTTTTCTGTTGTTTTCACACCATTAGAAAATAATTAACCTCCTTAGTGAAAGCATGTCTCCTTTTCACCTGAGTAGGAAAACCTTAAAATATACATACAATATTTTTAACACTAAGCTTAAATTATGCAGTTGCTGCATTTTGATGATAAATATGCAGATGAGAAGATTTCTGCCTCTTTTATCTTGTGGTTCTAACTCTGTCTAAAAACAGATTGTCGCAGTCACCCTAATTCTGAGAAAAACAGCCTTTTGTGCATTGAAAAGCCAAAACAAGCAAGTCTGATGATCAGATCTTCTCTTCCTAGCTGGCATATGTCTGCCATGCTAGTGAAGGAATCACTTATTTCTCGTGGTGACGGCAGTTGGTGCCATCAATTCCTGTCAGCTGGGGAAAGGAATGGGAAGCCAAATTCATACACTGGTGATTAATTCTGGGAGCTCACATGAAGAAAGACTCACTGAATACTACTGGAAAGCTCTGAGATTGCCCATTCTGCTGCAATGCAGATATATTCTATACAGATGTGATTAGATAATCCTTGTCTTTCTGCATCTTGGGGAGAGCACTAAGTGGGAATCCACTCACGTGAGCTCTGGGCTGTAGATGTCCAGAGCAGACCAACACAGGATGGGATGGGTGAGTTGCAGGCATTGGGGAAGGACTCAAATCAGCAGCAGATCTTGTTCTGCATCTATGCTTACCTCTCTCCTTCAGTTTGGAAGGTGACACTTTTCATTGAAGGCCACAAGTGCTTGAGCAGTTTGTGGAGGGGGTGACCCGCTCCTCTGTCTGTGGGAGGCAGGACTTTGGAAAAATCACCTGGTGCTTCCATCAATTCTTCTCCTTCTTGTCTCATATTTGCTCTCTTACTCTTATATATACATGCATGCAGTCATTTTATCTCCAAAACAGGGCTGGTGTCCTGCTGTTTGGTTTTCCTGGCCATAGTAGCATTCTCTCTGGTGCCACTAATCACAAGCAAGAGCGAGTTGCTGTGTTTGTCATGATCCCTTTGCCTTCTCCTGAGTGATCTCTGTTGTCCCTGGCTGTCCTTGGGCTGGCCACTCACACCACGAGTTACAGGCTGGAGGCAGCTGCAGGGATGCTGGTGACAGGCTGACAACTTTACCTTCCACGTGACTCTGAGCACGGCCATAGCAGACAATGCCACCAGAGCCAGCCAGGTACATCCTCCTGCTTCCCGACCCAGGAAATGCAGTGTGTGTCTGTGGCATTGTAGATGAGGGTAGGGAATCTGGCAAAGCACAGTGAACAATGCTGAGCAGATCTGGGGTTTATGGGCCCGAGCTCCTACTCCTGTCCTTCAATCACTGTGTAGCCTGGTGTGTTTCTCTGGACACCTGTCAGATCAGTGCTGGAAACATCACTTCACACCTTACCTCTAATCAATCAGCAGAGAGGCTACAAAGTTGGGATGTACCTGAATTTATACAGACCATGGGCTCTGATGGAGCCAATTGGCCTTGAGCTACTTCTACAGAAACCTGTAAGGTCACAGTTTAGCATAAAATCAAAGAAATGTAAGAACAAGTCACAGTCTGCAAGGATTGTGAAACCTTGTTCCCAGACAGAGTAACTTCTTATTTGACCTGTTCATATCCCACAGTCAAACACGAAGAGCTTTGGACTCTTAACACCATCTGTGGGAATGTGTTCCATTGGCTAGTTCACAGCTGTTCAGCACTCTTTCAAGATACACTGGAATTGCTAAGTTCAATTGAAGCAGGCAGTGAAAATATGTGTGAAGGGTTTTAATATCCATCTATGAAGATTATAGGGTTCATAGGCAAATAAACACTCTTATGTTATGTTTTTTTGCACATAACATGCTTTTCTTTTAGGCTGAGGAAAATTGAGTGAGAAAGAACAGAAGGCAAGTCCCCATGACAGCACGGGGTGTGTGTCTGCACACACATGTCTGTCAGTCTTTTGCAAATGGTTGCAGACACTCTGAAAACAAAAGTAGTTGTACACAGGAGAGTTCTTACAGCCATACAGATGGAAAATAATGGGCACTCGTGGCTTGGGCTGCATAATCCATATCCACTCACACTTTCAGATATCTGAAAATACACTTTCTGATCTCCTTAGAAGACCACCCCCCCATTTTAGGCTGTTGGGTAATGAGGGTGAGTCAGCCACATTAGGGCTTCTATTCATCCTTTTTCATTGTGCTTGAGCAGGCAGTAGCTACTGGAATTGTACAGGCCATCTCTGCACCAACTCAATAGCACTGCTTATTTCTCCATCTCTTTTAAAGCCTGTGCAAAAGTAAACCTGCTGGGGCTGTTCATTGGTTTTCTTTTCACTCTATAAGCTTTTCCTTTCCCAAGGAGCCCAGCACCTTGCTGCTAATCGGCTCATATACACAGTATAAAGTAGAACTCTAGGAGATTCTGTGGAGAATCTCCACTAGTTTTTAATGGTTTTTTAGTATTTTCTTGATTAAAGAGTTCTGCCACAAGAGCAGTGGTCCTGGGGGCATCTTTCCTCAAGAGACTGTGAACAGTAGTTCCTCTTCTTGGCACCCGGATCTGGTCTCTCCTTTTCTATACCACGAGTCCTGCATGTTTAGCACATTACAAGTTCTGTTTGAATTGAACTGGTATTTCTGCAGCTGCATCATGTGATCATCCACATTAAAATGGTTGTTCTTGGATTAATAGTTCTTTCTCTACCTTTTGGACTGTAGCTTCCTTTTCCAGGAGGGGCAGGAAATCACATCCTGTGCTTTACATTGGCAGTCTTGGCTCCTTCCCAAAAAAAGAGCAGAATTTAGTGCTGCTGATGCTTGCAGCTCAGTACGATTGTTCAGAGAAATGGAGAATGTGCTGTCCCCCAGCGGGATGCAGGGGAAGCAGGGGAAGCGACATTTTGACTGAGCTCTGCTCACTTCTGCAGTGTCTCCTGGTGCTTCCGCAATTCCGCTGAGTGCGGAGTGCAGCCAGCGGGGTCCCGGCCGGGGAGCGGCCCTCACACGGTCCCGGACAGGCAGAAATGCAGTGCATGGGCTGCAGGTGCAGCAGTGCAGCGCTGCCACTCGAATGCTGGCCCTCCGCAGTGAGCGAGCTCCAGCGGCTGCTGGGGCCCGAGCGCCGGGGGAGGAGCCCCTTCGGAGCTGAGCGAGCCCGCGGCCAGTGGGACTGCCCCTCATACATACACATCAGCATCCTTCGGACATGGCGCTTGACACGCCCTCACGGCTCATTGGCCTCCGAACTGGAAACCACGACCTAGAGCAGCTCCTCTTTGTGTTCAGAGCTCAAGAGAGTGTCAATGTTTCTTCAATCTCAGCATTGCTGTTATGTTGTGTTAGTGACGCCACTCCAGGAGCCCACTGAGGACACAAACTCTCCCCTTGAGAAGAGCGAATGATGTCTCCGTGCAGCACAGCCTCTGCCTTTCCAAATAGCTGCTTCCAACCTGAGGTTCTCCCTGCTTTTCTCAAAATCTGCTCTTGGCACAAGCCTTTCTCTCCACATTGTGGATGAGCTGGATATTGTGTTTGTTTGGTAGCCAAATGGTGTGGTTTTTCTTATCTAAGTATCTCTGAATTCCAGGTTTTGACTTAAGATAGCCCCACTGCAGTACAACCACGCAGCACTCTGGTAT